CAGTTCTGCAATACGGTGTTTGATGTTGATGTTTGTTCGAAAGTCTATCATATATGAGAGTTACCAAAGAATAAACGTTTTTAACATAAGAATTTTTCTGAGACTTCCTACTATTGTCAAGGAAATAGCCTGGGCCAACCTTTTCAAATCTCTTAGATTTCGACCTAGTTGCAATGTTAAAATAGTTACTCAATCTAAGCAAACTTTGTCCAATGCAGTTGAAGTATACTGATATTTCTTCGTAGACATGATACAAACAAGAGAAAACCTACTAGTATTGCTGGTGCATAGACCACAAGTAAGAGGGCATTGGTCCTGCATGAGTGCTCTGTAAGCGGAGTTGTTGCAATAGCTTTTCATTGCAGGGCAGTCAGACTTCATTGTTTGAGCGTTAATCTGGATAAAAACTTCTTACAGTTAGTTCTATCAAAATTCTTCACTACTGATTACTTTGTCTACGCAAGTGGTGGGTGATCTTGTAGAGGTGGCTGCTAAAAAAAGTGAATTACTTAGTTATAGGTTTTAAGTATGGTTCCTACTTACAAATAAGATTTCCATTGGGACAGCATGCATTGGAGACCAGAGTGTGTCCAGTGGGGCAGATGCCGTTTAGTGAAGCTGAAAGTCTTGGTCAGTTTCAGCTGAAGTTTCTGCACTTCTTCGACCTACGAAGAGTTGTAGTGCTGCAGCTCAAAGTTTGGGCGTAAGACAAGCCAAAAAGAGTGAATGCGATGGCAAGGAGCATAGTGACAGATGTCAAGTAGGGCAGTCTCTGACTTTTATTCACTTTTAACTTTGCTCATCTGCTGCCAAAGACTGCAGGAACCGTTGAACTTGGCTGGACAAATAAAGAGCGCCGATGCGACCAAAGTCTTGGCTGCGGCAGATTTGTATTATGTTCTGTCATCCAAATGGGATGGATTTTGACTACATCATTCGTTGATCGCAATTGTTCAGGAAATTGTTGGCTATCTATGATATTTACACTTTTTTAATGACTCGGTTCACGCAAAGTTTATGAGGTATAGGACAGCTACATCAAGCAACATACAAACTACCATTTGAAGCAAAGAGGAGTGGT